TGTACATAAAGACTAGTATGCCATGAGGTAAACCACTTAACCTTCCTTTGTTTCCGTATTTTTCCACTCAGCCAAGTAGAACTCTTTATTTTCTTTTTGGAGTTCTCCCCTCAAAGAAGCCACTAAATAATGTATAAGATTTGAAGGTGCTGTTTTTAGGGGGACTAAGGCAGAATGTTTCCTTTGAGAGTGGAAAATGGCCCATTGTTGAAGCACAGAGTGGATTATGATTCTAATTTATTCTCTTTGAACCTAATGGCGAATATCCCTTACTGTCAGATGTGGTTCTTAGGGCATTTCCTCCAACCAAACCTCTCTTCCATAAGGCTGGCACCTTTGGATTACTAAAGAAAGGAAAGTCCTTGATCCCTTGATCATTCCCCAGCATATCCAAGGTGACATTTTATAATTTGGGAAAAAGCAGTAATGGGGTAGAGACCCTGGTCATAGCTGACGCTCTGACAGCCAGTCTCCAGGCATGGCATGATGAAGAGCCAGCTTGATCTTAAATTTATTCCTTTTTGGTAACTGATCATAATTTGAATATGCCTGAAACTTTTGTTTCCTTGAGAGTCAGAATTTTCTATTTTGCCTATGCTGCTAAGCCTGGCCCCAGACTCTTAGGCTAAAGTGTTCCTCATGCTTCAGCCTCTGAAATAGCTGGTAAAGGCTACAGGCAAGTATTTCTGACTTTGCCTGAGTTTGTTATTATTTTTTTAATTATTTTATTATTTTATTTTATGTGTGTGAGTGTATTGCCTGCATGTAAGTAAGTGTACGCATGTCATGCAGTTCCTGAGACTATCTGAAGAAGGTGTCAGATCCCCAGGAACTGGAGTTACAGACAGCTGTTAGCCACCATGTGGGTGATGGGAATTGAACCTGGGTCCTCCTCAAGAGCAGCCAGTACTGTTAAACATTGAGTCATCTCTCCAGCACCCTTTGTTTTGTTTTTTAATACAGGGTCTCTTTGTGGCCCCAGCTGGCGTGGAACTCACTCTTTACACCAAGCTGGCCTCAATCTTACAGAGATCCACCAGCCTCTGCCTCTTGAATGGTGGGATTAAAATTGTGTACCGCACTCCCAGCTTCACATGAGTTCTTAAAGACAAATTCTGTTTCTTCCTGACTGCATATTATTAATTACTTTATTCAACAAACACTTACTGATCTCTCCTTTGTACCAGGCATTGTGTTTGCTGATACTAATGTGAAAAAAACTCTGAAACACTTTGTAAGAAGAATTTGTATGTATATACATACATATGTCCACATATATGTGTTATGCTTATATGTACATAAGGTACATCTATATTTGCATGTAGAGGTATATAGTGCAGACAGTACTATCTTGACAGTTAGGAACAGAGAGTTAGAGGGTTGAGGATCACTAACAAGTTAGGAAGTCCAGTGTAAAATCTTAGAATTCCTTCTTCAAAATTACGATGAAGTTTCTTTAAATCCAACCAAAGGAAAATTATTTTTTTCAAGGTGATTTTTGGTCACTATAATTGTTGAAAGAATGTGGATCAAAATCCAAGTTTTGACTTTTGAATTTTCCTTATTTCTACATTGGAATAACTAATGAAAGACGATTGGTTTTCATGGTTTTACCTGCATTGCAGTCAGACGTAGAACATAAAGTTTGTATTTTGATGATAATTTTCTCTTCTACCAGTTGTAATCTATTTGTTAGCAAACAGGAGCATTGTTACTGATAGAATGTGCCCTGACAGAGAAGGTAAAGTTTAGGTTTAGTAGAGAAGGAGAGAAGGTGAAGGGGACCCTAAACTCTATTGGCATCTTGGCATCTACCAGCACAGGGACAGTTTATACTTAGCTCACCTGGTATCATTGTTAACAAGACACACCTTTTGACAAGAGATTAATATTAAGAGGTAGAATTCTATTTATTACAAATAATCTCTCTATGAAGTTTTAGTTGGATGCAAAAAAAATCAAACAACTGTCAGACAAAATATCAAAAAGTACCTCTGTCTGTGTGATGGGCAGGGTGACAGGTCATTAATTGGCTCATGTTTCCATCCTTCTATTCATCTTTGATTTTGCTGATTGTCTCATGGATGCTGGTGAGATCTGACCTGGACAGCACTGAGCAGCTTAGAGCCTCAGAATTGAGTCTGGTTAGGGAGGGAAGAAGGCAGAGTCATCAAGTGCAGGATGTGATATTTTCATTAACTACCTCTCAGCTTTGTTTAGACATCTTAATAAGGGCACACCCAGAAGCAAGGCAGAGGGGGTAGTAGATGAAATGTCATTTGTTTTAACTCCAAGTAGTCTAGGTTTCTTGCTTTGTTTTAAACCAAGTAATGTACAAATTTTAAAATTTCTCTATAATATGTTTCTCAAAGATTTTTGGGAGGTCCGTAGTCATTTATAAAAGAAGTATCTCCAGATGACCCATCCCCATTCTTTTTTGAACCACCATTTATTAGGTGGCTCTTAGTATTAACACTGTGAAATTTCTGGATGTTTGGTACAAAGTCACAAGGCTCATAGAACTTACGCCTGTCTTAGTGAGAGGGACAGGAGGTAGGAGGGGCAGCTGGCAGGAGAGTACAGTGCCTCATCCCAGTTTCTCTAGATTCTCTTTCTTATCTCACATTGTTGGATCCTATGCAGCAGGGTGGGTGAAGGATAGAATTGCAAATAGAAATTGTATTTGCTTTTGTTTAGTGAAGCCAAAAGTCTTAATGTTATTATTTTTATGAACTCATTGTAAATGATAACTGACATGAGAAAACAAGATCTTCCAAGTACCATAAACATCTTAATGATTGTGGGGACAGGAGGGCAATACAAGAAGCATCGTGTATAAATTATTTTCAAAAGTGTGTATTAGCCAAATCTCCACCTTCTCTGAAAAAGATGACAACCAATTAGAAGAAGCAAAAGGCTAAGTTGATGCACAAATTCTCTATTCATGCCAAATGTGGAAGAAAAAAATTTCTCCTTTGAAAACACCAACCAACCATTAGATTGCTATTAAAACACTCCCAAGGTCTTACAGTCCTATATTTCATTAAAAAAAAAATGATTCCCTGAAGTTCAAACTGGCTTCAGTTTTAAATGAAATTTATCTTTCAAAATTTGTAGCTACTTTGAAACTGAAGGTTTGTTATGTTGTATGAACCTGAACAGATTAAAATATAAGCTGAAAAAAAAAAAAAAACCAACCTGGTTACACATTTAGAATCTTCAAAAGAAAAGAGTTTAGAAAGGGAGGAAGGAGAGAGGGGGAAGGGAGGGAGGGAAGGATGGAGGGAGGGGATGCTTTCAGAGAAGCCATTATTTATGAAAAACTGCATTGCAATCCTGTCATGCTGTAGTTTAAATGTAAAAATCAGTGCTTCCCAGAAGAGATTTTTGTGTGCTAATTTTTTTTTTTTTTTTTTTTTTTTTTTTTTTTTTTTTTTTTTCCGTTTGTTTGTTTGGAAAGCCCAGGTTCTGGTGAGAGATGCTGGTTCCGTCTTCAACATCTTTAGGAGTCAGCCTATGAAACAACTCTTCTATTACTTATGCTAATGGCAAAAGTTATCTTTGTTCTTGTGAAAGGGTCTGATTGAACTAGGGTGAGCCTTTCATTTTAAGACGAGCTAAAGTCTGGGGTGTTTTTAATGTTTTAATCTCTGTTCAAGAGGTTTCTGTTACGAGAGGAAAATTGATAACATTTTTACCTCAGCAAACTGCCAGCAAACTGGCTCTGCTCTAATCCCACATTTATCGTGATTTATATTCTCCATGGCAGTGTGCTGTAACCTCACAGTGATACCACTCTGGCGTAGATTGACTGCATTCCAAATGCTGGAATCACATACATAATGTTTTTAGTTTTAAATAATATTCAGACACCAGAATAAATACCATATGTGCACTGATGCTGGTTACAATGGGACCTTGTCATTTCTTGTGAGGGAGAACATTCTTTGTTTCTGATTCTTACTTGAAATAAGTATGCAAAGGACAAATATGTACATTGACAGCATTTTATGAAGGCTTTGGTAATTACACAGCTATGGATGTAGCATGTTTCCTTAAATATAGCATTTTAAGCTAAAAATGGTACTGTGTTTTGCCATTGTCTCTCGTAGACACACATACAGGCCGGGACTGTTAGCTGACATTCCCAGGGTAGGATATGGCTTTTTTGTTCTGTATGTGCAATGTGCTGCCATTAAAGGACATCTGTTGAAGAACAAATTGCCTCTGTGAGCACTGCTCATAGGAACAGTGAGACTAACATGCTGATGACATTGTAACAGGGAGAATAACATACTTGATAATGGGGAAGGATGGATTGATTGGAAAGCCATAATTCAGTGTAAAGCCTAATGTCATCCGATGCCATAGACACAAAATTTAGGTGGCTTGACATCATCAAAATGCAGACAATCAATCTCTCCAGAGCCATTTTCCCCCACATGATTTTAAAGATTCAAAAGTTTCATAAAGTTTAGCTCTGCTTCTCAAATCATGTGTTTTTAGATTTTTGTTTTCATCCATCCTGGTTGGAGTTCTAATCCACTTAGACATATTTTTTTAAATAGACATGGCAGAATGCCTTTCATATTTGTATATCTGCAGCAAGCTCCAACAAGTCAATCCACATTCCCTTCTTGGGGAAGCACTTCAGTGCTGGTTTACATTATTACCATTGGCTGAGCTCTATTGAATTAGTGCTTAAAACATTTTTATAATATTTTATACATGATGAAACCCTAGGCATTGATATTGATGGTTTCCCTGCCCCTCTGCACCTCTATCCCCACCCAGTTTTGTGAGGTTTGCCCAGAATATATAGTGTGAGATTAATGTGTGAGCAATACATCATAATATATTTCTGACATATTATCTGGCACATGATTCAGAGTTTGGGTAAGTGTGTTCCATTAGAAAAAAAGTGCTCAAAAGTCCCCTTTTGAGGATGGGAAGTTAAGAGATAAATGTAAAGCCTCTAACATGTTGTCTCTCCTTTGTAGCTTTTCGAATGATCCCTTATCCCTTGGAGAAGGGGCACCTATTTTATCCATACCCAATCTGTACAGAAACAGCAGACCGGGAGCTGCTTCCCTGTAAGTATCATCTCTCTGAAGACCTCCCTTCAGCTAGGAAGGGTGGCCTGACTAAAGGTGGCATGGGAAGGGGTGGGGATGGTAAGTGTTTATAATGTCCTTTGTCTTTTATTACTTTACTCCCAACTCCTGAACTTATTTGATCACATATGTATTGAAGTGAATTATGTGAATGTAGGACTTCCTGCTCCTCCAGATCTTTCCCCACATGCATCAAAGGGAGGGAGGCCAAAGGCCTGAAATTTAACAGTCATCATGTGCAGGTTGGGCTGAGCACACAGAGCCCTGTTGTGGAGTGACTTCTCTCTAGGCTGGTCCATCACAGAGGCTTCTGCCTGGGCTGGGGTTTGAAGAGGAAGTGCTGACATCAGAGGGAGTTGTGAATGAGTCATGGGTGGGAGGGCAGTACCAGGGCACTGGCACCACCACTAGAGGCAGAGTCCTGAAGGAGGGTGGTGTGCTGTCCATGGTGATGCAATGCTCTTGGTCAGAGGGTTCCCTGTGAGCATCTCGTGGGTTGCACATAGTGAGTTGGCTGACATGTGCATAGCACACGTGCAGCCTTAACACTGTATCACAGTATGCAGGAGGAAAACCTTGCCCTCAAGTGCCTTTGGAGCCAGCAGCCTAATGGCCATACCACATGTGGAAAATATTATTTTGGTTTACTGTAATACAACATTGTTTTGACAATCTAGGATAAATAGCTATTATCCGAACATGCTGTGTGAAGGATCATGTCCAGGCTCTTCATGTGGCCCTGACTTGAGACATATCCCGCGCCCCCCAGATGCTAAATTTTGGCTCTTTACTCTTCTGTCTCCTTTCCTACCACTCTCTTTCCTTTGACTAGCTGTGGTTATATGACTATCTCATAGCTATAGCATTATGTAAATATTCACCCAGAAGAATAGTATAACTTTGGAGTCCTGGAATATTAAAATTTCAGGTGCCATCATTACCAAGCCAATCATAAATCTTTAACACTGTGGCACCCAGGTGCCAAACTTAATACTGCCATCACATTGGGGTCACCAGAAGTACCTCACTTGTTTCCTTGGTAGTCAGCCCCAGCCTGAGGTTTGTTACTTAGCATGCTGGGAGAGCTCTGAGCTGAGGTCCTCATCATCAGGGTTTCATCATAAAGAAGTCTGGCGCTTCATATGACATTAGACTTGATTTCAGAAATCCCATATGGGCCCAAAGTTTACCTTTTGATTCCGCCTTCAGAAAGATCCTTATTGAAGTTTTAGTTTTCTAGTAAGAAAGCCAGTTTTCTGTAAAGTACAATGTTTAACAATATTTTAACTGAATCCAATTAAGTTTCCATGGTGACATATTAGCTATTAGAACAAGATTACACATCTTAAAAGAAACATTATAGGGATGATCTCCATGAGCCTGAAATAGAAAATTGTGGCTCATATTTATTGAAGTAAATGCCATGATTCACTGATAACTTTTCAGAATCTTTTATGAGTTTTGAGGGTAAGATCTGGGATTTGTCTATTGTAAATGCTACTCACAGTTTGCACATTAAAAGTGTAATTGTTGGCATGGTAGGCCCTAAGTGTATCTCAATGGTGGGTTTGCCTCTTAGCAGGATGACTTTCTAGAGCTCAGATAGGCATGCTTATGTGTGTTCTGTGCCTCCTGATGGCCTCTACCTTTAGTTTTCAGTCCCGCTGTTCAGGGATCTGAGTAACAAAGTGTAATAGGCAAGGAAAGACCTTTAGACTTTGTATTTCTATGAGGGATGGACCTTTCAGATCCTGTTGATTCCAGTAGCAATACTGTGAACCTACTGTCTCAGGCATTTGATTTTCCTCCTGTGTGCACACAGACCCCTTCTCCTTGATCAGGATCTCTACCACTCTTCAAGTCACAGGCAATCATGTGATGAGTTGAGCAGAAGAGTTGCATTCTTCATGCTTTGATATCAAAGCCTTTTGGGCTTTCCCAAACCCAATGTTTGAAGGTTAAACACTATGAAAAATACTCTAAAGAGTACTAGTCCCCCATCTCCAGTAATTGTTTAAAGTGTATTTATGACCAGGAGTTTAATACAGTTGAGCCAGATGACCCTAGCAACCTTGGCCCTCACCCCTGCAGGTTGAATAGGCCAGCATGTGAGGTCCTCAATGAATGTCTGTTGTAGTAACATCCTCCACTGACATCCTTAGACTGTGCCAGGAGAAAAAAAAAAAAGATAAACTAATATTGCCTTATTGCAATGATTTAAAAATAAAAAAAAGTAAAAGTTAGACAGATGTTCTGTATACACATATACACACATATGCACTCATACTTGATTTGGGATTTTTCACATTTTGGCATTTTGGACATAAGTGTTTTCATTTGGATAAGGTTTTGCTGTTCACATCTTTTTTTTTTTTTTGAGAAAGGAACACTATATATTAGACACAGATGGTGCCCACGAATGTATGTCATCCCCAAATTAACCCTATTGTGTCTTTAAGAGTGCTGAGGTGGGACTTGGACTTGGAAGAAATAGCAAGGCAACAAAGGCGGGGTGTCGGGGGTGCGGCGGCGATGTGGGCTGAAGTCTGTGTCCTGCCTGTGTCATTTCTAACAGGATTTAGCCAAAGTTCTAGAAGTCAGATTTTCTATGCTTTTCACTGCAGTCTTAATGTTTCCCTTTTGGTCTTCTCCTCAGCTTTCCATGAAGTCTCAGTTTACCCAAAGAAGGAGCTCCCCTTCTTTATCCTCTTCACTGCTGGATTGTGTTCCTTCACAGCCATGCTGGCCCTCCTGACACATCAGTTCCCTGAACTTATGGGGGTCTTCGCAAAAGCTGTGAGTGTTTGCGGGGAGGGAGGCTTTGGGCAATGGACAGGGAAGCCAAGGGAAGGAGTGTGAGGAAAGGGGCTGTCATCCAGAAATGGTTACAAGCCTGTAGCGTCATTAGATTTTCATTATCATTAGTGCAATCAGTGGGTTAAAGACCAATCAAGTGAGAGTACAGGTTATTAGTGCACACCGTCCTCATTTCCCAAAACAAATTCTTAGTACCTTCCAAAACGTGTACAAAGTCCAAAAGGATGAAATAATTTAGGGAATCTTAGCAGATGAGAAATGGGCAGGACATGATTCAGCTTCACATTTACCAAGTAACACTTTCTAATATTTGGATATTGTGAGTCTTTCATTCATGTAGAATGAGATTTACATTTTTAAAGATTATTTATACGATGATGTTTTAAATGGCTGAAACCCTTGACTCATTTGGGGAGTGAACTGTGAGAGGGTACGAAAGCTTGTGTAGAAGTCTACCAACATGACACTTCGAAACAGGAAAATCCATGAAGAGCCTTGCTGGCCTTGCTGGGGGGAGGTGGAGAGATCTGATAAAAACATCCCCACTGCTAGCCAAGAACCACTGTTTTCCTGTGGGAACTTGACCATCTGTGCCAGGCAGTGGGGTAAACGTCTTGATTTTGCCATAGCTGAGTGTCAAGTAGAAGGAATGGGGACAGAAGCATCAGTTGTTTCCCCACCATCTGATCTCCAGGCCTGTGGGATCAGCAAGAATGATTTCTAACTTGGCAGGGCTGATTTAATGCCTCTTCAGATGATGGACATTTTTGGGTTGGCAGAGTTCAGGAATGGAATTGCGAGAGTATTTTTATACATGTTGAAGATGAGCTGTAAATCCCACCGGCACCTCAATCGAAACATTTCCAAAACTGAACTCATCACCCATTTTCCCCTACCACCCAGCCTGCTCCTCTCTTGTGTACTTCTGACCTCTGCAGGGCCCTTCCAGGCTGCCAGTTACTCAGGTCACAAATTCCCCTCCCTCCCAGGCCCTTCCCTGGCTGGTGCCCTCTCTGGCTCAGCCTTCAAATGCTTCTAAGTGCCCAAGTACTCTGTGAACCTGACTTGCCTTTCCTTCCCTTCTCTCTCCTTATAGCATTTCCTGTAGTATAGGGCTCTCCTACTTTCTGCCTGAAATCCTGTCTTAGCTGGTCTCCTTACTAAAACAAGAAGAATCTTTCTAAATTTCCAATAAGCCTGACACTTCACAGCTTGAATTTCTCCACTGGTTCCCAACTACTCCAGGACAAAATATTAGCTCTTTTGCATGATGTAATAGAGCTTTTTATTTTCTGGTGGCCCTTGCCTGACTTTTTGGCTTCATCACTCATAGTTTTTTCTTGAACCCGACTTTTCAACAATAGTGACTAGCACACCTCAGTGCATTTACATAGACTTTGTGCTCTGTATGGAATGCCCCTCACCACCACCAGTACCCCGATCCACTCTACTAAAGACCTCTTCATTCTGTCATGCTTCTTAATTTCTCCTGAGTTGAGAGTGATGTCTCTCCATGATCCTAGAGTTCCATGAATGCATATATTATTTATTATTATTTAGGATTGCATTTATTCTTATATAGGATTGCTGGAGAATTGTCTGACCCTTTTAGATTTGTGCTCTTTGAGAACAGGTTGTTGTCTTCCTCATATCATTATCTCCAAAGCTTTGCACAATGCCTTACACATTGTAGGTTTTCAGTAAAAGGTGATAGCTGAATGAACAGTAGTGATTTCTACAGAAAAAAATCAATATTAAAAATCAGATACACTTAGCTTTTTTCCCTTCTCTTTTAATTACAGGCCCTTACAGTTGAAAGGGGCCTTAAACAAAGTGCCTTCAACAGTGACTGTGAGGAGGACCTCTAGGTGCGTGAGGCGCTCCCTGTTTAACATCATGCCCATTTCATCACTGGGCCATTCAGAACTCTTTATTGTACTACTCAAGTCTGCCTTCCTTTCACTTCTTTTTATTCCTGTTTTACCCTCTGGGAATATACTACTTCCTCTTAAATATTCTCAGGACAGCTTGTCTATTCCTGGACAACTTCAAGTTCTAACTACCTTCTCTTCAGGAAAATTAAATTTCCATAAATCTTCTCTACATGACGTATTTTCTAAAACTGACACAATGCAAGTTTCCACCCTGGATTTTCCTTAATTCATAGCTTGTACTATTCAAGTGTTTTCTTCTAGCCAACCAACCTCTGAGAAAAAGTAGTTGCCGAAACTGTCAGATTAGAGTGTGACTTAGTAAAATATAAAGTTGAAATCTATTTATAGAATTAGACAATTACTGTTCCTCTTTTATGTTTCTCCTCTTAAACATTTTTAGAAAATGTATAAAAGTTTCTCATTGTTCCGTGTTTATTATTAAGCTGTAGATAGTATTTGTTAGGGGGTTGGGATCTCAGAGATTCTCAGCTGCTAGTGTGCTGAGAATGTGCCTGGCTACACCACTAAATTTCAGAATCTTGATGTTCATAACCAGAGTCTGTATTTTTAGCAAAGACCCCACTGGACTGAAGATGGAAGTTTGAAGACCCTATTTCCTTCTAAGGAGTCTAGTTTCATGAAAGGCCAACCTCTGAGCAGTCATTTGAGGTTACATGCTAGCGTGTCACAGCTGTTCAGGCAACAGCTTTCCAGAATTAGTGGTTTTAGCCTGTCTGTACTTTGGAATTGATAGTGGCGCTCCCCAGGGCTTCCTTCCTACTTGACCCCATGTGACATAGGCATCTGAGTTTTCAGAAGTTACCTGGGGACTCAGGTATGCAGAGAGGACTGAGAACCACAGTACTGAATAAAGGCTTATTACTTACGACCATTGTAACCAGCAAGGGGATTGGGAGGAGGGTGGAGAGTAAATAGATTCTCCACAAAGGTCAATCATCAGTCCCCCCAGAAGCATGGGGACCAAGCTCATTGTGGACAAGGCTACTTTCCTCATTTCAGTTTCCAAAGCATATATTTGCATCTAGGATTTGAAACATTCATTTCACATCCAGGGCATCTAGAATCTATTCAGATAAGCAGCAAGTTTCCACCGTTAACCCAGCACATTGGGAGCTGTGACCTTTTAAGTGTAGTGTCTCAAGAAAAGGAAGATTGGGTGATTGGAGTGCCATGCCCCCTCCCCTTTTTTAATTCAGATGCTTTTTCTCACCAGAGGACACTAATTATGGGACATTTTGGTAAGAAATTTGAGTGTATCTCTCTCCTCTGGACAGACTGAATGAAATGATCAAATGAAACAGAGATTTGTCTTTACGATGCTCATACTCTACCAAAGTATGGTTGTTTGGTCAGCTGTTTCTAATTTTAAGTGTAGTTTTTGACAAGTTTGCTTTAAACCTCTATCTGGGGGCTGGAGAGATGGCTCAGTGGTTAAGAACACTGGTTATTCTTGCAGAAGACCCGGGTTCAAATCCCAGCAACCACATGGCAGCTAACAACTGTTTGTAACTCCAGTCCCAGGGGATCCGACAGCCTCTTCTGATCTCCCTGGGCATTGCATGACATGGGTGCACCTAGCTACATGCAGACAGTATACACATACACATAAAAATAATTTTAAAAAATATTAAAAAAAAAACCCTCTACCTGGATGATCACATCCATATTGCCCTTCATGGAGGTCTAGAATTTTCCAGGTCTGGAGATACTTGGTGGAAAGGGAAGATGGGTGGTTTGATGAGGCAAGCCTGGTCTTTCCCTCCCTGTAGTCCTCTCATCCTCACTCCTTGCTCTATCACTCCATCAGGCCCCTCTCAAAACCCCTGCCCCACACCCGAGGGTTATCACAGCTGCCCTGTAGGCTGTCTGCAGCCATTTGCAGCTTGTGAAAGTGATTTTCTCAGCCTTCTTCTGAGATAATGTCCTGCGTGTGATGACTTAGTAGATGCAGAGAGATTGCACTGCCAACCCCCCCAGGATCCACAGCGTGGGAACTCCTGCATGTGTATTCACTAACTGCAGCCAGTTCCAAAGCCCATAGCTTGAGTGAGCCACTGGAGAGGCGTGAGCAGAGAGGCTTCAACTGGTTGCCTGTAATCTAATCTACCTCAATGACTTAGGGCTAACTCTTCCTAGAATGTTTGGTTCCCAAGATAAGGCTGCTCATATAAGTAAGTTATCACTGCAGGCCCAGCTCTGCTCAGAATGTGGGAAGGTCAGCATTCTGACCCCTTCTGCTCTCAAGAGCCTGTCTTTCCTCCTCTGGTCTCGCTCCTTGCCTGAGACTGTACCCCCTGACTTCTGCCTCATCTTCACTTATAGGCCTGGCCTCTTTGAAGTCTGATATTGATTACAGTGGGATGTCAATTGTCTGCTTGCGACAGGGCACCTGGAACCTATTCAGATAAGCTTCGGGTTTTCGGGTTTTCACTGTTAACCCAGCACATTGGGAGCTGTGACCTTCTTCTAAGTATAGTGTCTTAGGAAAAGGAAGATTGGGCAATTGGAGTGCCGTGCTCCTTTTATTTATTTATTTATTTATTTTTATTTTTTTATTTTATTTTATTTTTTTTATTAGTTCAGTTGCTTTTTCTCACCAGAGGACACTATGGAGCATTTTGGTAAGAAATTTTACCGAGTATCTCTGCCCTCTGGATAGACGTTTTGGACACTGACATAGATGGGTTATTCTAGGCTCCCTGGTTTTGCTCATTCAGACTTCACTTTTCAGGCAAAAAATTTCCTGCTTAGTCTAGAAATGAAATTGCTGTCTCTCTTTGTGGATTAGTTGGGATTCTGGTGAAAAAATATTGATTAGTTTTCACACATCTTCAGAAATATCTGAGCAAGCCAAGGCATCCTCCGGTGCAAGGTATGCTCCTACAAACAAACCTCTTAGTAGTTCTTGACAAAAGCCGCCTATCTCCATCTATTAGTAAAGTGAAAAGACTTTGTGACTTGGCCTTTTTTTCTACCTGGCTTCTTCATTGTATAAGAAGGGAAAGGTGCTAAGAAGGAAAGTGGTTCAGTTATGAGGGGCACACACCTCAACTGGGGTCTCTAGGTATGTAAGTGATGCTGTCCAAGGAAATGCTCAAGGGAGCCCTTCTTAGGCACCTCAATGATAGTACATTCTAGGTGTGAGGAAGATAAAGGAGGTTATTATCTACACTGGAAGTACTAGAGGGTCATTCTCTTATGGAACCTCAGTGAGAAAGGTAGGTAGACATGATAAAAGAAAGATAGGGTTTGGTGCGGGGATAGGGGGAGTCATGGATGGGGGAGGGGCTCTGGTCTTGAGTGGGAAATGTTGCATGAAATTTAAAAAGCTCAATAAAAAAGTGGAAAAAAAAAAAAAGGAAAGAAGAGACCATGTTGTCTTTTGAAGCAGTGGGGAAGAGGAGGCACTTTTAGACCTCAAACAGAGTGAAGCTTTTTATCCAACTCAGGTCAATACTCCCCAGAAACAAAGCAAGCAAACTAACAAAACTGGTTTTTATTTTGAAATTACTTAGTGAAAAATTATCTCCATTCATTCTGCACCTCTGGTTGTTTCCTGATGCCTACAATTGGAGGTATGAAACTGCCCAGAGTGTAAACTTTAAGGATGCCTTTCCCCCGTGGCACTGCCTGGGGCTGACACTCAGCACTGCTTCCCCTCCCAACTTGAGCCTTCCTAAACTTCCTAAATCTCTTTGATTGCCAGCTGCATCTTCTAACACCTGCTAGGATCTCTGGTTTATCCACAGGGTTTTAGCCTTGGCTCCTCTTTATGGATTTCCACAGGTAAATACTGTCACCTATGTGGCCTTGATTGTCTCTGATTATGTATGTCACATACAAATACATATAATTATATAAATGCAGTTTACAGTGTTATATTTGTTTAGTGCAATTTGTTTAGTTCTTGTTCCATATAGTTCTCTCAGAATTTTGGAAAAGCTTTCAGAGGTCGCTGGGCAGAGATTACCCACTCCTGGGCCCAGTGTTTCCCCACTGCTTCCCGCCTACAGTCATGGTGGCAGAGTCCATGGTCCATTTCTGACCTGGAAAGGACAGTCTATCCTGTAGGGTGAGCCTCCCAAATGGTTTGGCCTACTCACCAAAGGATGTTTTCAGGTTATCAGAAACTACCATAGACCTAAAGTCCATTGAGAAAGGCACCATTGTACAACTGTCAACACTCGTGGCTGCCTACTTTTCAACTACACATCCAGCCTGGCATTTGGGGCTTCCAGCCACTCTGAATTCTGCCTGTATTTCAGTGAAACTGAGCTGTTTACAAGCTTCTGGTCATATCTGGTGCTTTTTTTTCATGTTCTGACTGTTCAGTCCAGAATGTCCAATTTTCTCACATCCCTATCTTTGATGTCTGTATCGCATCTTTTCCCTTTGATAGTTCCACCATCCATTGGAGTCTATTTAATTTGCCTTACTTCACAAAGTTTTTCTTGACCTTGGAACAGGATGACTCCTCTTCCTTTTCTGAACTACTCTGGTACTTTCTTTGGGAGTCTATCTTGATTGCTGTTATGACCTATTTGTATTGCTTTGCTCTATCCATATCTTAATGTCCTTGTTTCTTTCACCCCTGAGCTTTGAGTCTCTGAGAGAAAGAATTTTGTCCTAGGTGCCTTTAATCTCATGTGACACTTTATTGCCTTACCAAGCAATGTATTTAATTGATGTAAAAAAAAAATTGGAGAAACTATCGTTTCCTTTGATCCAGCTATATTGTGTTACAGGCCTTTTCAATGTGTGTCATACCCATCCTTAGAACACCCTCCACACATGTCTGTCATACACACATAAGAAATTGAGGTTAATGAATTTGGGACACTTGCCCTCCATACCTCTTCGAAGATTCACAACCCACAGAAGATGTGATGAGTAAGGAAAATGCTTTAATTTTATTGACTGTACTACCTTACTAAATTTGTTTGCCCTCAGAGTCATATTCCCCCTCCATGCTTGTATTTACCGCCTGAACTAAACTTCTGGGCAAAAATCTTTGGTATTGACAGTACTAAGCTATGGATAAGGGATTAGGGCAAAAGACTCCACAATAAAGAGCCAATGTTAATAACCTTAGCAAGACAAAGCCTTGGTTCTCAAAAGACAGAAGGCAAAGAATCCATCTCAATACCAGTCTCCTCCTTCACTGGGACAGGTCATCTCGTTTATAATATTTTGGATAGTTTGTGGAATAAAGTTAATTGTTCACAAGAATATAATCAGAATGGATTTGAAATTATGATTAGTGATTATCAAGCAAAACACTTGACCTTCTTAAAAGACACATCTTCATTATTCTCTGTGTAAAAAGCAGTATTTAGTAGCCATGTGAAAGAGTTCCCAGAGATCCACTTAGTAGCTGTTCTATAAGGACAAGTCTTCCCAGTATGTCAACTTGCTCTGCTCTCCCAGCCTCCATGATACATGACACCAAGCATGTTGCTTAGAAGTGAGCCTAGGCTGTGCAGGCATTTAGAAGATACCAGAATACCAAAGCAATCCCACATTACAAATTTGACTCTTTATATTGCCTTTTCCATTTAAAGTAAGCTATACTGTCAGACAATCAGGTGGTCTAAGTTGTCACCACTGTCACCATTGTAAGTTCCTTTACCTGCTTGCTACCCATTCATCATCATCTTGGGTGACACTTACCTGTGTAGGCCATGGGGAAACTCTGTACATTACTAGGAACCTTGGTCTGCAGCAGCTGTCAGAGGGCTGAGGGAGGCTGTCAGCAGACACTTCCTCCTTATCTACCATGCTGGGGGTGGGGCTGGAATGCATCTTCAACCTTCAACCCAACATTTCCTGTAAACATAAAGTTGACTGTAGGTTTGTAAGACTTTCATAATGAAACACCATAAGGTACAGGCATGTGGTATAGATACTGCTCTTGGTCTTGGACAAGGCCTCTTCTGACTGCTGTTTCTCCTGTTTCTTTGCAGTTCCTCAGCACTTTGTTTGCTCCCTTGAACTTTGTTATGGAGAAAGTGGAAAGCATCCTCCCCTCCAGTTTGTGGCATCAGCTGACACGGATCTGAGGGGAGGGAGCTGCCCATTCTTCACTTTCTTCACCCTGCCACCATCTCTTCCATGCCAATTCCTTGTGGACCACAAGAAAGCATGACTTTGAAAAAGGGAAGCCATTCCGAGATTTTGAACTGTTCATGGACTATCTGTTCCATATTGAAAGTTGTTTTTGTTGTACAAAATTCATGTTCAGTTCTATTTTATTTTGTCTCCAAAAAACAAACAAAAAGATAAAAAAATAAACTTTTGTGTATTGCAACAACCAGTTGTGTTTTCTTATCTTCTTTACAACTTTAAAAGTGCCATTCTTCCCAATAAATCAGAGAGTATACCTTGTTCTCCAGGGACCCGGGTCTGCTGAGTCCACACTGTGATTTTCTTTGCTGATAGAATTGGTCTCAGTAGACCTAGAAGCCTCAAGTCAGTGGCTGAAAAAATTGAATCTCAGGGAATTAATCCCAGCACTCAGGAGGCAGAAGCAGAGGCCTCTCTGTGAGATCAAGGCCAGCCTTGTCTACATAGTGAGTTCCAGGCCAGCTAGGGAGATCCTGTCTCAAAAAAAAAAAGGGAATCTCAGGGTAGGAAATGAAGCTAAGTGGTAAACTACTTGCCTAGCATGCATGAGGCCCCAGGGTCAGTATGCCCAGCACTATAAAAACAAATGAGTAAACAAATAAGAAAAGAAGAGGAGGAAAATGGAATTGTGAATGCACCATCCCTGTGGTGGTTTGAATGAGAATGTCCCCCATAGGCTCCAAGTATTTGGACATTTTTTGTCCCAGTTGGTGGAGCTGTTTTGGGAGGTCTTAGAAGTTGTGGCCGTGCTGGAGGTGGGCTTAGAGAGTTCCTAAGTTTTGCTGATCTCCAGTCGCTCTCACTTCTGGTGCCTGCTTGAAGATGTGAGAGCTTAGCTTCCACTCCTCCAGCCACCTCGCCACCATGCCTTCCTGCCTTGATGGACTCTTGTTCCTTGAAACCGTGAGCTCAAATAAACTCTTCCTTCTTTTATAAATTCTTTTGGTCATGGTGTTTCTATCAGAGCAACAGAAAAGTGACCAGTACAGTCCCCAAATGAATGTCCTCACAGGCCAAATGTGTACACAGAAGACAGATTCCAAAACGAAGTCAGACAGCATCAGTGAAACAAATGTGCACGCCATGAACAGGCTATTACAGTTTCATAGACTTCACCTCCTGAACAGTATTCAACTCTGCAGTTCCAGGAATCACGTTGCTTTTGCTGTTTGAAAAGAAGAAAACTTCCAATAAGAAGCCACATACCCAGCAGTCTCTAGTAGAACCTGACTGCTCCACCCATATGCCATTTTAAACATTTTCCTAAAGGGCACCTCTTTTTTTTTTTTGTCCTGTTTGCATTCCTGACACTTTAATCTGAGCATTCTTTGACTATTTTAGTGATCTGTACTAAAAGTCATTTGTCCTTACCACCTTTCAAAACCTTGTACATGATTCATACATAGCAGAGCATCTGGCTCTAGTTAAGCAAAAGAAGAAAAATAAATAAATGTGAATCCTCTATCTGAAAAGTACTTCTATTTTAAAATCTCAATCCAGTGCTTAAAAAAGACTGTCTTTGGCATAGTTAGCTTCTTCTTTGAGAATCCTAACTCTTCTCCAGGCACATCAAGGCAGGTGGTTTTCAGGAAAGTACCATTCTGTTTCCTTCCAGGCAGGCTCCACCCAGGGATAGTAAAGGCTAGGTGACTTGCAGGGCACCAGGGCTCCTCACACTTTGGGAAAACCTTTCTTTGAGTCTACTTTGTACAAAGCCCTGATGAGACCTTACAGCTGGCTTCTCACTTATCTAGTGATAGGTTGACCTCATACACATACCGGTAGTGTTGCTCTTGGGAACAGGGCCTGTGCCTGCCTTGTTGACAACTCTTGACATAGAGTGGATGCTCAAGTGATTGGGTGAATCAGTTGGTGCAGTACATGATAGGTACAAATAAACTTTCCTCTGAGTCAGAGGAGGGAGTAATTTCAGCTGAGAAGGACCAAGGAAGGCTTAGAATTGTAATTTTGAACTGGAAGACAGAGAATTATCTAATACAATTCCTTAACTTAATAGATGAGGAAATCAAAGATATTTGACCTGCTGGAGCTGGAAGTCCAGATTGTAATTTCCTGAATGAAAGGTTTAAGAGCAGTAAGTGTGCTGGAGAGATGGCTCAGCAGTTAAGAACACTGGTTGTTCCTGCAGAAAACCCGGGTTTGAATCCCAGCATCTACATGGCAGCTAACAACTGCCCATAACTCCAGTCCCAGGGGATCCGACAGCCTCTTCTGACCTCTGTGGGCATTGCATGACATGGGTACACTTACCCACATGCAGGCAATACACTCATATACATAAAATAAAAATAATAATTTTTTTTAAGTTTTAAAAAAAGAGCAGTAAGCATGGGGAGTGGAAATGGCCTAGAGCCAGGTGGTGTTAGAAACTAAGCTGTAGAACATGCAAAGAAATGCAAAGAGAGAGAGAGAGAGAGAGAGAGAGAGAGAGAGAGAGAGAGAGAGAGAGAGAGATATGAGATTACAGGTGTATGTCACCATGCCCATCTAAAATAAGGATTGAAATATGCCTAACAAATTAAGAATTAGGATTTTAAAGCAGGTTCATGGAATAACACACGAATGGGAAAAAACAGTGAAAGAATGAAGAGGGGATCTTGAGATCCTGGGCCAAAAGGGGTTGATTAGTGAGAAGGAAGGAGCCAGCTCTGAACTTGAGAATAGCAAATTGTATGAACTTACCCTCACCCCATAACCCAGAGTCACTCTTCTGGAAAAGGCCTGGGTACAATTAAACACTAAAATTATGTTTTCACAGAGCTGGATGAACTAAAACATGACACATCTAATTTTAGTGCTTTGTTATTGGTAGTGTTTTTATTACCCTTTTTACTATCTGCTGTGGTAATCAGTCTATGCAAAATTTCTGCTTTTTATTCAGCTGGTAGAATATTTTTCTAGGAAATTACTATTTTTCTCTAGATATGTAAATGTGTTACCCAATAACACATGGTATTTATATATTTCACTTCCTGTATTTATTGAGGTTTTTTTTCCCCTCCCCCCCTTTTTTTTTTATTCCTAATTGCTCAGGGTCTTTTCTTTTTTTGTGTGGGGGTGGGTTGAGTGCAGATGTACGTGCTCATGGCTTATGTGTGGAAGTCAATATTGATTTCCAGATGGGACAGTACATCCACAGAAGGAAATGTGGCATCTACATCTGAACCCTGAAGAGGATCTAGGGAAAAGCTTCATCTGGTAGCTGGTACCATAAACCCCTGCTGATGCCAGTGCCTCATGTCTCATCATCCTGCCCAAGGGCTGTGCTCAAATTTGCTCTTACAATGGAATCACTCTGACTGCTGGTAGCCTGACTCCTGGGACACTCACCAGATCCAAGCAGCCTTTTGGGAGCCATGCCTTTGGTAGTGACTGGTGCAGTGTTGACACCCAGCCTTTCTTCAGGACATCTTGTGTTACTCTGACTACCATGACTGCAAAACACAGAGTCTCCTCTGCACTATGTGGACTACTCCAACCATGTAATGACAGGGTGGATACTGGCCCTCGAGGTGTGCACATGCATGATACTCCTCTGGAAGGTCATGCCTAATCTCTACTTCTATAGATATTCTGAAGAGACTGAAAAAGAAGCACAAGCAACTGCTGGAAAGGCTACAACACAGGAGTAATTTTAGCATGAATGGACTGATCCAGTATCTGAGTTTACTGCTGCTCAGCCCAACGGGGCAGATAGTTTGTGGGCCTGCGGGTGCCCCGTCTGCCTGTCTAGCAGGTCCTAACTGAAGACTGGAGTACCCAACCAGCCAGAGGACTAATCTGAAGCTCTCATCGCTTAGGCCACTGAGTAGGTGGCCTAAGGTGGATGGAAAATGAAAGATGTACAGCCAGGCATGGTGGCACATGTCTGTAATCCTGGCACTCCAGAGGCTAAGGCAGTAGGATCATGAGTTCAAGGCCAACCTTGGCTTCATAGCAGGACCTTGTCTATAAAGTTTTCTCTTGAGTTGACTTTCTTGTTCCATAATTTTTTCTATGAATTTTTCTTGTTTTTTCAAGAAATTTGTAAATTTTTGTTTTGCTTTTTTCTTATTTAGCAGTGAGCCCTTTGGGGAATTTTTTTTCTTTTTTATAATTTTTTAAAGAGATTTCTTACATGACAGCTTCCTGGAGCCAGCAGCTTGCCTGGGTAAGTTTGGCTGCTGCAACCACTATGCCTTGACTCCCCCAGCCTCATTCACCCTCCCAGCTCCCCCACCACATCTCTCCCCCTAGCAGGGGCACTGGCCAATCTCTTGTCATGACATCCCAGACCCGTGGACTGATCTCTTAGCCCAGAATCCCCACTGCTTCCTGATCCTTTGGGTCCAGACCAACCCAATTCCTTCCTGTAGTCCCCAGGAGCCCTCAGGCCACTTCTCACTCTCACCTCCCTTTGTATCCCTGGGGTCCAGAATATTTCCTGGACCCTGCTGCCAGGCCAGCCCAGCCCTCAAATTCCTGAGTCCAGCATCTTTCCTGGAGGGATCCAGACCTTAGGAGAAAGTCTGAGAGCATCTGATCCTCATCCGACTTGGGCCTCTGTGGGAACTCCCAAACAGCAAGACAAAAGCAATTTGGTCACTACAATATAAAGTCAAAAGAAAGAACCTGAAGCCTAGACCAACCAGCTTTTCATGTCCAACAAGTAAACTGCAAAGGCACATAAAGTTTACAAAAAGAAGCAGACCTAAACTCAACAAAGAAAGGCTTGAGTCTCACACAAGAAGCAGATTCTACAAAAGAAATCCACGTGTCAAAGTGACAGAGACAAAAATAACATGAAAAATCAAAATAATATATCCCCACCAAGTACCATCAGTCCTCTAGAGGAGTACGAGAACCCCCTAGAGATAACACAGGATGTGGAGCTCAAAAGAACAAGTATAAACATGACAAAGAGTTCAGTTAATTTAAAGAACACACAAAGAAAGAAATCAAAGAACTGAAAGAAGATAAGGATAAACTTTTGAATGAATTCAGAAAAGAGTTAGAAATAGTGAAGAATGCTTGGGCTGAAATGAAGGAACTGAAACACTTGGTAAACGAGTTAGAAACGACAGGAGAAAGCCTCACCAATAGGATGAATGAAATGGAAAACAGAATATCAAGACTGGAAGATAAAGTGGACAAATTAGACCACTCAAGCAAAGATTATGAAAAATTTAAGAAAACACAAGAATGGAATATGCAAGAATTGTGTGACACCATAAAAAGACCAAACTTATGAATCATAGGCA